CCGCGTCTTTTATATTATAATAAGCTACGACCTCGAAAATAAAAAGGCGGCCTTCGAAGTAGATCCGTATTAAACGATAAGCCATCGATCGGTAGAATCGTTTAACTTCCTAACCCGTTAATACCTTTTCGATAATCTTACGTTTATTTTAGTCTTTACGATCTATACGGATATAATAAACCCCGAACGAGTTATTACCGATCCCGAAAAGTTCTCCTAAGCCTACTTCGCCGTAGTATTATACCTTCCTAAGCCCCGAAGATTATTTAGCTTTAATATAGTTAAAGACGGCGCCTTCGATCGGGCGGCGTACGCGTTTAGTTAATTACGGCGAGTATAAGAAAACGGTAATCTCGAGCTTAATATAACCTCTTAATTTACTTATTACGTCGCGTTAATAAATTAATAAGATAGCTATAGTTACGGTTTTTAAAGCGGTATTTTACCGTATCTTATCTTTAAACGACCGATCGAAATCGCCCGCTAAGCCTAAGAAAATAAAAGGCTTAATCTCTTTAATATAATAAAGGAATACGCCGAGGTAGTAAAATAATTTTATAGCGTTCGGGTTTTAAAAGGGAAGGTTAGTATCGTTAAGCGTTTCTAATAAGCCGTAAATTAGTAAAAGCGAATCGACCTTATTAACGCTATAGCCTCGGCTTAGAATACGCCGATCGGCGAGTCCTTTAGCCGTAAATCCTTCGTCCGGTTTATCGCGTAAGCTAAGGTCCGCCGTTCCTCCGTAGCCTTAGTACTTAATCCCTCCCGCTTCCTTATATTAATAGACGTAAACCTCCGCTACGATAACCTCGTTAAGGTTACGGCCCGTCCCTTTCCTTTCCCCGGCTTAGTAAGGATTAAAGCTTTCTAATCTAAGGAGACCTCTATACCGTATAGGTAGAGGAAAGATACCTAATTAACCCTCGGGACCCGCCCGTTCCTTTACTATCTCTTTAATTAAGAAGGCTAAGCCGAAACTAAAAAGAAGGTAGCCGAGATAGAGAAAGAATACGCCGATCGGGCTAGATCGGTAAGGATAAACTAGGCTAAGTTAGCTATAAAGTAATAAAAGGACTCCCTCGTTATATTAGACGATAAGTTAAAGGCTCGGCCTTAGTAATTGAATAATAACTAATAGAATAAAGTTTCGCGGTAGTTTTTAAAAGAAGATATTAATCGGGATATACCGTACTATCCTTTTTAATTTAATTATTCCTTATTATATAATTAAACTAAAAGACGATAATAAGACGGTAAAACATATCCTCTTAATATATTACGTAATATATTACGATAGGCCTTATATTTATATAAAGTAACTATAGCTTCCGTAAGTACGGGCTATACTATACTTATTATCGAATTTACTAGCTAGCTAGATTACTATCTCTATTATTTTTACCTTGATAAAAGATTCGTTTTTATTATTAAATTCGCCGTTTTCCGATTAATATATTTATCTTAGTTATAGGCGCTTAAGTTACTTTGTCGTACCGCTATAGCCGAATAAATAACTTTTGCGTTTTACTCCTTTTCTCTCCTTACCTCTTATACCTTCGGGCTAGCGATTATTACATCTCTACGACTACGGGGCATAGCTAAGATATAATAACTATACTAGATTCCTTATCTCTTAATTAATATAGCGGTATTAGTTTCATTTATCTTAAATCATCGTACGAACTATAGTTCTCGATAGAGTATACTTTCGAGTAAACCTATCCGGGTCTCCAGTATCGCGTACGCTCTGCTCCTCCTTACTATCTTTATTATTTTTATCTTAATTAAAGATTCGTTTTTATTATTAGATTTATCGTTTTCCGATTAGTATATCTATCTTAATTATAAGCGCTTAAGTTACTTCGTTATACCGCTATGACCGAATAAGTAACTTTTACGTTTTACCTCTTTTCTCCCCTTACCTCTTATGCCTTCGGGCTAGCGGCTATTATATCTCTACGATTAAAGGGCATAGCTAAGATATAATAACTATATTAGATTCCTCGTCTCTCGATTAATATAGTAATATTAGTTTTATCCGTCTTAGACTACCGTACGAGCTATAATCGTCGATAGAGTATACTTTGAATAAACCTATCCAGGCCTCTAGTATCGCGTACGCTCTGCTCCTCCTTAATACCTATACTACGAAGTTTCGCTTTAGAGATAATATTAACGTAGAAATCTTTAATAAGTACGACGTTTTTAAGCTTTAGATTAAAGATAGGCTTACCGGATTAATTTAAGATATACTTTTCGATAATCTTATAATCCGTACTAGTAATAGGGAAGCTTGTAGTACCGGCTTCGACCGTTTATCCGTCTCTAGCGGGAACGAACGACCCTTTTATTAGAAGGTTACGATTATTAATAAGGTAGATAGCTCTATAGTTATCGAAGACGGTACTTTCTGATAGTAGGTATCGGATTAGATTTATTATAAAATAAATCCTAATCTAAGTAAATAGGTATATAATACGTAGGTCGATAACTATTACGCTAATATTAGCTAGCTAGGTAGTAGCGTTATTTCTTCTCTCGTTCCCGGAGCGATTATTAGATATATTATTTACGGGAACGTCCTATCCTTAGCGGTTAATCTAATTTCGGAGCTTAACGTATTTAGGTAATTCGTATTTAGCCTTAATTTTTCGTATAATATTAGTCGGGATATTCTTTAGGTAACGTATAGTTTAACTAGTAACGGACTTCTAAAGGATTCCGTAAGAGCGAGCTAGCCATATATATGATTTACTTCTAAACTTATAAAGGCATTCGTAGCTCGTTACTTTTCCTTAGCTGCTATTATTACCTAATTTCGTTTTTAGTGTCGGACCTTAATAGAATATTACGAAAATTCTATAACCTAATTTACCTTTCTACTTATTCTCGGTAACGAAAGCGCTAAATACGATGCCTAATTACTTAAGGGTCTTTAGTTATTCGCTAAATTTATTAGCTTTCGTAAAAGCGATTAATACTGAATAGGAGCAGCGTGGGTACGCTGACGGAGGCACGAAACGGCTACCCAACTGCCAACAACTGGCCCAGTGCCGATCAACCAAGATCACAGCTGTAAACAGCTGTAATCGGTTGATCGGCCAGCTGAAAACGGCAGCTGGGAAAGAAAACTGGAAAAGGCAATCGAGGATGGCTAGAAAGGCATGGTAAAAGGAGTGAATAGCTGTAGGTCGTGATATCTACAGGTCTAAGTCTGGCTGATGAAAATATGAGTGCGCGACCCATATAAATACACATCGAAAAGGCTACGTAGCCTAGATCCACCGCACTACTACAATACCCGAATAGCCTAGTCGATTACGATCTTAGCCTTAACTACTTCGAGGAAATCCTTTGCTCCTATAACGCCCTTAATTTTGTTAATGTAATAAACGCGAATATAAAGGAAGGTATATTACTACGTAACGTAGAATTACTTAGGATTATAAGTACCTACCTTTATTCTTTAGAATACCTTACGGTATTCTCGCCTAACGAGCGTTTTAGTAGCGGCTTCGGTAGAAGTAATCTACTTACGGAGGATCTTTACGAGGTTTTAAATAATCGGATCGAGGTCTAGGAACTATATCTTTATATTAGCTACCTTAAGAAAGCCTATAAAAATAGATACGAGAATCTAGCTATAAAGAACCTTATATTACTTATTAATAGCTATAACCTAAGCCTCGATCGTTATTTACTAAGAAACGAGCTTATTATACGAAGCTATTTATTATTCTCGAGTTCGAGCCTTAGGCTTTAGTAGTTAATTTCCTTAGTCTTCGGTTACGATCGATACCTATTCGTAGACTACTTTCTTATAGTTTTCTTTAAGGAAAGCGTTCTCTTAAGTAATATACTCCTTAAAAGTACCTACCACGACTCGACTAGGGTTAAACTTAACTCCATTTAGATTAACGTCTTTCTAAATACCGAATTAAGTAGCTATTAACTTAAGCGTAAGGAACTAACGTAGCTACTTATCGTAAGCTCGTAGGTAAATGTTAATTAAAATCTTATTCAGGAAGAATTCGGACGTATTAATCGTTATAACGAATAAGTAAGTAATTATTTAGTACTTAATACGTAGAGTAAAGTACCGGTATAGAAATAAGAAGGAAGAATAATCGTAAGATCTAAGAGATAAATGAATATATAATGCTTACTTACGCTAGAATAACCTAAGTAATAATAGCTCCTTAGAAGTACCCCGGGCTTATAACTATTACGTAGCTAGCGAGAGCTACGTATAGGTTAATAGGTTACGTATAAAGGGAGTAATGAAATACGGGTAAGAAGGTATATATTAACTAACTAGAAAAGAAGGAAAGCTACTAAAGAGTATGGAGTAATTTACGAGTACATATAGTAGTACTTAACCAGCTTAGGTAAGCTAGGTGGTTCTCACTAAGGGCGCATGCCTACGTGATAAATTATAAAAGATATTTTTTCGCTATAAAAATCGATTAATATGTAATTAAACAAAAAGGGTAACGAAACAATCTAAATACTTTAATTAATAGAGAAAGCTATTTATATAATAACCTATATTTAATTATAGAATCTTGATTAATATAATATTAAAGTACGTAACTACTCCTTCTGTATATAGCTAGCTCTTAAAGGCGTGGCCTCAATAAAGCGTTTTTTTTTTCGTATAGCTTTATTCATTTAATTTATAGTATTTCATCTAGCGAATAGCCCTTGAAACCGTAATATTATACAACCTTTATAATTTTTAAATTTATTTAAATAAGCTATTTAACTTATAAATATGCGACTTTCAAGGCTTTTTAATAAAGCTAAAGTAGCTTGCAGAAGTAGCCTATATTTATATAATGAAAGATACTATAGTATTATAATTAATATATTCTATTTAATTTTAAAATTGTTTTTCAATATTTAACTTACTGGTTGGAAATAATATGCTATTTAAGTAATTCGTAAAGGGTAGCTTGTAATGGGGTATGTTAGCTTATATAAACTAGTAAATGCATTATATCTTATTAATAATTTTCCGTTATCGCAAACTAAAATTTTCTAAGGTCCGTTCTCACTTTTGATATTTAACGAGCAACTGCGACCATTTCATATCCATAAAATTTTCAGTTCATTCACTTCCTAGTTAATTATTTCCTACCCAAATTTAAAAATTCTACTGCCATAATTTTACTGCCATATCTCTTCTCCTCTCAGCTAAAATGTCGACTAAACGGAGGCCGTCAACAAGAATCGCTCATCCAGTTGTCCGACAAAGTGCAAAACAGCCTTTGAAAACCACCATTAATGAGTCCGAGACAACTGTTTCGATTCCAACCACTTCAACAGAAATTGGGATTCAGAACACTCAAGTCATTTCCATCTCAAGCGATTCGGGTAGCAGCGAGTATGAGTCGGACAGCAATATACCTGCACAATTATGGGATGAGACCAAGCCGAATACCGAGGCAGACCAAAAAAAGACCACCCTACGTCTAGAAGACAATGGAAACGTCGATGTCGACATATCCCCGCCTAGCATGCCAGCTGAGGACGAATCTGACCAGGAGGCTACGGAACCTACGTTTGGTGAACTTGCACGCGCACATGACACCATTGACGTCCCAACGGCACCATCCGCACAACCAAACAACCTCACCATACCAGGGCGATCTCTGGCACCATCTAGCCTCTCGTCTCTAGGAACCGTCCTATCTCAGGCGCTCCGTACCGACGATACAGAGCTTCTAGAGTCCTGCCTTCATACCACAGATCTCGCCACAGTCCGCAATACTATACAGAGATTGGACTCCAGCCTTGCTGGGAAATTGCTAACCAAGCTGGCGGCCAGGATGCACAGACGACCAGGGCGTGCTGGTAGTCTAATGGCCTGGGTACAATGGACACTTGTGGCACATGGAGGCGCGTTGGCGACCCAGCCCCAGATAGAGAAGAAGCTGAGCGACTTACACCGAGTGCTGGAAGAGCGGTCAAGAGGCCTCAGCCCTCTACTAGCTCTAAAGGGCAAGCTCGACCTGCTAGAGGCGCAAATGGAGTTACGTCGGGGAACGCAGTGGAATCGAGACCTACTTGAGGGAGAAGACGAGGATGGCATTGTGTACGTGGAAGGAGAAGAAAGTGGTGTGGTGTTGGTCAATAAGAAAGTAAACCCGGAGGATCATGAGGATGACGACAACGACCAAAAACCTGTCGTGAACGGTCTAGTCAACGAGAGCTCTGAAGACAGAGAGTCAAGCGAGGATGAGGTAGATGAGAGTGACCTAGAGGGCCAGGAAGACGTGGATGAGAATGACGTGAATCACGAAGACGTAGAGTCTGACGAGGAAGATAGTGAGCGCGAGGCCACGGGGTCACAACGACCAGCAAAACGGACAAGGACAAAACGGAAATAAGAGATTAGACTAGGGTTGAATATATATCTAGAACGCGGTCTAAGTGATACCCCTTTCTATAGCTATCGCTATAAGGCTATGTACTAAGGAGGAGCAGAGCGTACGCGATATTAATATCCCGGATAGGTTTACTCGAAAGTATACTCTATCGAAGATTATAGCTCGTATGATAGTCTAAGATAAATGAAACTAATATTACTATATTAATCGAGAGATAGGGAATCTAATATAGTTATTATATCTTAGCTATATTCCTTAGTCGTAGAGATATAATAGTCGCTAAGCCGAAGGTATAAGAGGTAAGGGGAGAAAAGGAGCGAAACGTAAAAGTTACTTATTCGGCTATAGCGGTACGACGAAGTAACTTAAGCGCTTATAACTAAGAAAGATATATTAATCGGAAAACGAAGAATTTAATAATAAAAATAAATCTTTAATTAAGAAAAAAATAATAAAGATAATAATTTAATTAAGTAATAAATTCGATAATAAATATAGTATAACCCGTACTTACGGAAGCTATAGTTACTTTATATAAATATAAGGCCTATCGAAACGTATTACGTAATATATTAAGAAGGTATATTTTACCGTATCATTATAGGTTCTTAGTTTAATTATACCATAAGGGATATTTAAATTAAAAAGGATAATACGGTATATTCTAATTAATATTTCTCCTTAAAAACTACTGGGAAACTTTATTCTACCGGTTATTATTTAATTATTAAGGCCGCGTTTTTAACTTATCGTTTAATATAACGAAGGAGTTTCTTTATTATTTTATAGCTAACTTAACCTAGTTTACCTTTACTAATATAGCCCGATCGGCGTATTTCTTCTCTATCTCGGTTACCTTCTTCTTAGTTTCGGCTTATTCCTTTTAGTTAAGGGAATAATAAGGAAGCGGGCGCGTCCCGAGGATTAATTAGGTATTTCTCCTTTACCTATACGGTATAAAGATTTCCCTAAACTAAAAAGCTTTAATTTTTACTAGGCCGGAAGGAGGAAAGGAACGGGTCGTAACCTTAACGAGGTTATCGTAACGGAGGTCGGTATTTATTAATACGAGGAAGCGAGGGAAATCAGGTCCTAAGGCTATAGAAGAACGGCGGACCTCCGCTTACGCGATCGAACGAACGGACGATTTACGGCTAAGGAGCTCGCCGATTAGCGTATTTTCGGTAAAGGTTATAGCGTTAATAAGGTCGATTTACTTTTAATAATTTACGACTTATCGGAAACGCTTAATAATATTAACCCTTTCCCTTAGAACCTAAATATTATAAAATTACTTTATTACCTTAGCGTATTCCCTTATTATATTAAAGAAATTATGTTTTTTATTTTCTTAGGCTTATCAGACGACTTCGATTAGTCGTTTAAAGATAAAATACGATAGAATACCGCTTTAAAACTCGTAATTATAACTATCTTATTAATTTACTAACACGACGTAATAAGCGGACTAAGGGGTTATAATAGGCTCGAGGCTACCGTTTCTTAGGCTTACCGTAACTAGCCGAACGCGTACGCCGCCCGATCGAAGGCGCCGTTCCTAACTATATTAAAGCTAAATAATTTCTAAAGCTTAAGGAGGTATAGCGCTACGGCGAAGTAAGCTTAAGAGAACTTATCGGAATTAGTAATAACTCGTTTAGGGTTTATTAAATCTATATAAATCGTAAAAATTAAAATAAACGTAGGGTTATTTAAAAGGTATTAGCTAGTTAAGAAGTTAAACGATTCTATCGATCGGTAGCTTATCGTTTAGTATGGGTTTATTTCGAAGGCCGCTTTCTTACCTTCGAGGTCGTAGCTTATTATAATATAAAAGGTACGAATATCCTCGTTAATAAGGTAGGCGTAATGAGTAAGGTATACGAAAGAGTTAGTTAAGGTTACCTTCATTTATTCTTATTACTATTAGTCTATAGTTCGGGGCTAATTAACGGATAGCCGGAAGGCTTAAGTTATATTAGATCATAGCTCGATTTAACCCCTTACCGAATCGTAGTTATTTAAAATATAAAGCTAATATTCCTCTATATTACTTTAATTATCTTCGTTACCGTAAATCTCCCGTAAGAGTTTTATTAAGTCGGTTAAATCAGTACGACGTGCGTTTCTATAAACGAAGGAGAGGGAAAAGAAGAGAGGGATTCCGACGGAACGGGGAAAAGATATCGTAAAAAAAGGAATTAAAGAAAGGGAGAGAAATATAATAAGTTAAAGGTAAAAATAAAGATTTAAATTAATAATATGAAAGGTAGGCTAAAGATTAATAAGAATATAATAATTATAGAGGGAGGGTTTCGAAATAAAATACTTAAAGAGGAAAAAGAGACGGAGGGAGGGAAACGTATTAACGATAGAATTAGATATATCCTTACGGCTAACGTTTTAGGAAAGCGCGTCCCCCCGTATACGTATAGAACTATAATAAAAGATACGCTAGCTTATAGCTTTCTATTATATGCTCTTAATAAAGTAATAAATACGTACGTTCGCGGACTCGTAATTAAACGTAAGCTAGGGTAGGTATTATTAAGACTTTCCTAAGTACGGTACTTACGACCTAGGTAATGTATTTCGACTCTTTCGTTTTCGTTTAACCTTTCCTTTTATTTCTCGTTATTTTATAGTTCCGATTTATTTTCTCTCTTCCTCTCCTTAGGTCCTTTATCTTCGTTTTAATTCGTTTTTCGATTTTTCTTAATTCTAAATTTATGATTTCATCGTTCCTATCTTTCTTTCTCTTATATATATATATATCATAAACCCTATCCTTTAAAAGAAACTCCTGAAATTAAACCGGGAGGCCGTCCTTAAGCTATTCGAGTAGTTTAAAGCTACGGGAATTACCGACGAAGAAATCGTAGGGGCGGCTAGGAAGGCTAAGAACGATAAGAAAAAGGCCGTAACCTATTAGCGGGTTAAGTCGATACCGCCGTCGGTAAAGCTAATAAATAAGTAGTCCGACGAATCGTTCCGCCGGTTACCTTCTACCGAGGAGTTCCGGAATATTAATTGGTTAATTCCTTAGCCTTAGTAGGTACCCTACGCCCCGTACTCTCGCTCTTTAAACTAAAGCCTAAAAGTAATTATCGGTAGGTAGTTCTAAGGCATTAAAGGAATTCGGGTAATAAATTAATAACGCTAAATATATAGCTTTTAATATTAATAAGATTTATTAATTAAAGGTTAAATTAATTAATAATAAAATAATTCGTAACGTTCGGTTTTATTTTCTAGGTAGTCCGGCGGCCGGCCGGTATATTACGTAGGAAATCTTAAGCAAGGACTTTTAAGAGGTTACCTACCTCTAGAGTTATATCATATCCCTTACCCGTTACGTTTAATTTTTTTACCGTCGGACGTTATTTATAAAGATTAATAATAATAAGCCGGTAAGCGAGTATTTCCATCGATTAGCGACGGATCTTCGTTACGTCGTTAATTTATTCGTTTAATAATATAAGGTACCTAACGAGGTACCTTATTAGTATTACGAGCGCCGGCTCGCTTTTTCCGATACCGCTAAATACTGTAGTAGTACGGTAGATCTAGGCCATGTAGCCTTTTCGATGTCTATTTATATAGGTCGCGTACTTATATTTTCATTAGTTAGACTTAGACCTATAGCTATTACTATAGCCATTACGACCTATAGCCATTTACTCGTTTCTTGCCATGCCTTTCTAGCCATCCTCGTTACCTCTTTTTCTAGTCTCTCTTTCCCTTTCCTAGCTGCCGTTTTCAGCTAGCCGATCAACCGATTATAGATGTTTATAGCTATAGTCTTTATTAATCGGCACTGGGCCAGTTGTTGGCAGTTAGGCAGTCCCTCGTTTCGTGCCTCCGTCAGCGTGCCCACGCTGCTCCTGTTCAATACGTAGGTATATAACCGTTCTTTTCCTATCGTCTCCTAGCCCTCGATCGTATCTTTAGGTACTCCTACGGCGTTTACCTCTTTTCTATTAACGGGATACGTTATAAATTTCGGAACGAGCGGTTCGCCTACCTAGGGGCGAGGATAGATCGTAACCTCCCTCTGGTAAAGGATCTAAGCTAGGCCGCGTACCCGTTTATATTATAAATAACGAAGAATAAGTTATTAGTTATAATAAACTCGAAGGTCGTTACGTTCCGGGAGTCGGAAAGTAAGTAAGTTTTTAGTTTTCTTAGTAACTAATAAGTAAAGGATAGGATAAAGGAACTAAGAGGAAAAGAGAGGTATTAATCGGCGGGTATATATTACTTCTAGCTTATTTTTAAATACGTATTTCTTTTCTTTCTTCTTACTTTTACTTTTATTAATATGAATTACTTTCCTTACTTTCCCTTAAATATTAAAACATACTTATATTAAAATATAATAATTTCGTAATATTAGGATATTAATATCTTAAATTCCTAATAATAAACGCTAAGGATAACTTATCTAAGTATAGGAACGCGTTAATCGACGTTAATAATCTATAGTAATATACTTTTTTTTAAGGTAAGAAAAAAAAGAGGGCATATTTATTAGTATTATAATTTAAGGTATTAATTTCGTATATAGGCTACCGGTTTAATAACTATATAGGGATAACTTCTTTCCTTTCTTACTTAAGAGAGCGACTATATGTTAAGCTCCTAGGTTTTATTACTCTTCGATCGGTATAAGTAGGTCGTTTTACGGTACTATAGCCTTATCGTTTTATAGTAAGAAGGTTATTTATATAATTAGGTCGATCTTCTTAGTCCGGGTTTATCGTTAGGTATAACTTCGTATCCTTTAAGCTTTTTATTTAATATTTTTATTATAATTCGCGCCTTATCGTTCGGGGTTAATTATTCTTTTTTTTCGTCGTCGATTATTAAGGCTATAGGTTCTAAGCCTCCTTTAGCTTAAGGGTCGTTAGTAGTCGTCGATTCCTAGTTCCTATATTTAATCGGTAATAGGCGTATACTTTATTCGTCCTTTTCCGGATTCTCTAGCTCTTAAAACCCGTTAATATCTTAAATAAAGTTCCGTAATTTATAGCCTAAAACTAGGTATAATAACGTAACTCTATTCGGTTCTTTAAGCTTATAACGACTATAACCTAAATCTTCGGCGATTAAATACGGTTCCTTTTAGTAGTACTTTAGTTTTACGGTTATCGACTTATCTATATATCGTAACGTATCGTATAATAATACGAGGTCGTCGGTTTTTAGG